GTAAATCTACAATAGTGAGTAAAGTAGGTTATTTTTTGACTATGTTTTTATTGAGATCTGTCTCTTGATTAAACTTTAAAAATACAAAAACATGGGTACTAATCTAGCCTGGAGCAGTAAGACTGTGCTATTTTCTAGATCTGTAGATTGTTAAGGTGCAAAGATGGCCTTTAGTAGAGGGATGTGCTCTTCTTCATTTCTGAAGAAGGTTTCTAGACCCGAAACATCAGCCTTCCTGCTCCTCTGATGCTGCTTGGACTGCTGTGTTCATCCAGCTCTACACCTTGTTGTCTCTGCTCTTCCTGTTGGATGTGGGAGAGTTTCCATGTTACTGATGATTATGGCTGCAAGAAGTGGGTTTGGTTGTGAATACTATCGGAACGCATGGATCAGTTGGAACGACAGTTAGGGCCAATGAGGAATTTATGGGAGCTTGGGGGTGTGATGGATGGCAGTTGCAAGAAGGGAGATAAACCAAAGATACAGTCAGGTAGATGGGTGACCTCCGGGAAAGGTAGGAGAGAGGTAGTGTAGGAGTCTCCTGTGGCTATCCCTATCTTAAACAAGTATGCTGTTTTGGAAAATGTAGGAAGTGATGGGCTCTCAGGGGAATGTAGCATTGACAGCCAGGGTTCTGGTACCGTGAATGTATGAAGGGTACATCAGGTTCCAAGCGATCAATTGTGATAGGGGACTGTGTAGTCAGGGGCGCACTCAGATGTTCCTGTGGACAACAACGAGACATCAGAATGTTGTGTTGCCTGCCTGTTCCAGGATATGGATACTATAGGAAGGATAGAAAGGGGAGGGGGCAAAAGGGGAAGGAGAGTAGCGTTTTTGATTAGGGATGACATTACGGCTGTACTTAGGGATGATATTCCTGGGAATATGTCCAGGGAAGTTATTCGGGTGGAACTGAGAAATAAGAAAGGGATGATCACCTTATTGGGATTCCCAGTGGTCAGTGGGAAATTGAAAAACAAATTTGTAAGGAGGTCTCAGTTATCTGTGAGAATAATAGAGTGGTTATGATAAGGGGATTTTAATTTTCCAAACATAGACTGGGTCTGCCACAGTGTTAAGGGCTTGGATGAAGCGGAATTTGTTAAGTGTGTACAAGAAAATTTTCTGATTCTTTATGTGGATATACCTACTTGAGAAGGTGCAAAACTTGACCTACTGTTGGGAAATAAGGCAGGGCAGGTGACTGAGGTGTCAGTGGGGGAGCACTCTGGGGCTAGTGACCATAATTCTGTCAGTTTTAAAATAGTATTGGAAAAGGATAGACCGGATCTAAAAGTTAAATTTCCAAATTGGAGGAAGGCCAATTTTGACAGTACTAGGTAAGAACTTTCAAAAGTTGATTGGGGGCAGATGTTTGCAGGTAAGGGGACGGCTGGAAAATGGGATGTATTTAACAATGAGATAATGAGAGTCCAGGGACAGTATATTCATGTTAGGGTGAAGGGCAAGGCTGGTAGGTGTAGGGAACGCTGGATGACTGGAGAAATTGAGGATTTTCATTAAGAAGGAAGCGTATGTCAGATATAGACAACAGGGATCGAGTGAATTCCCAGAAGAGTATAAAAGCAGTAGGAGTATACTTAAGAGGGAAATCAGGAGGGCAAAAAGGGGACAAGAAATAGCTCTGGAAAGTAGGGTTAAGAGGAATCCATAGGGGTTTTACAAATACATTCAGAACAAAAGAGTAACTAGGGAGAGAATAGTGCTGAACATCTTAAAATGCATAAAGGTGGATAAATCCCTGGGACCTGAACAGGTGTACCCTCGAACTCCGTGGGAAGCGAGGGAACTGATTGCTGGGCCCCTTGCTGAGATATTTGTATCATCAATAGCCATAGGCGAGGTGCCAGAAGACTGAAAACTGGCTAACGTGGTGACACTGTTGAAGAAAGGTGGTAAGGAAAAGGCAGGGACTATAGACCAGTGAGCCTGACATTGGTGGTGGGCAGGTTGTTGGAGGGAAACCTGAGGGACAGGATTTACATGTATTTGGAAAGGCAAGGACTGATTAGGACTAATCAACATGGCTTTATGTGTAGGAAATCCCGTCTCACTAACTTGATTGAGTTTTTTGAAGAAATAACGAAGAGGATTGATGATGACAGAGTGGTGGAGGTGATCTAGATGGACTTCAGTAAGGTGTTCGACAATGTTCCTCATGGTGGGCTGGTTAGCAAAGTTAGATCACACAGAATACAGGGAGAACTAGCCATTTGGTTACAGAACTAGCTGAAAGGTAGAAGACAGATGGTGGTGGTGGAGGGTTGCTTTTCAGACTGGAAGCCTGTGACCAACAGTGTGCCACAAGGATCGGTGCTGGGTCCACTGCTTTTCGTCATTTATATAAATGATTTGGATGTGAACATAGGAGGCATGGTTAGTAAGTTTGCAGATGACACTACAATTGGAGGTGTAGTGGACAGCGAAGAAGATTACCTCAGAGTACGATGGGATCTTAATCAGATGGGCCAATGGGCCGAGGAGTGGCAGATGGAGTTTAATTTAGATAAATGTGAGATGCTGCATTTTGGAAAGGCAAATCAGGGCAGGACTTATACACTTAATGGTAAGTTCTTGGGGAGTGTTGCTGAACAAAGAGACCTTGGAGTGCAGGTTCATAGTTCCTTGAAAGTGGAATTGCAGGTAGATAGGATAGTGAAGAAGTTGTTTGGTATGCTTGCCTTTATTGGTCAGTGCATTGAGTATAGGAGTTGGGAGGTCATGTTGCGATTTCAAGGCCATTGGTTAGGCCAATATTGGAATGCTGCATGTAATTCTGATATATAGGAAGGATTTTGTGAAACTTTCTCAAAGGGTTCAGAAAAGATTTACAAGGATGTTGCCAGGGTTGGAGGGTTTGAGCTATAGGGAGAGGTTGAATAGGCTGGGGCTATTTTCCCTGCAGCGTCGGAGCCTGAGGGGTGACCTTATAGAGGCTTATAATATGAGGGGCATGGAAAGGTTAAATAGACAAGATCTTTTCCCAGGGGTGGGGTAGTCCAAAACTAGAGGGCATAGCTTTAAGGTGAGAGGGGAAAGATTTAAAAAGGATCTAACAGCCAACTTTTTCACGCAGAGGGTGGTGAGCGTATAGAATGAACTGCAGAGGAAGTTGTGGAGGCTGGTACATTTACATCATTACAAAAGGCATCTGGATGGGTATATGACTAGGAAGGGTTTAGAGGGATTTGGGCCAATTGCTGGCAAATAGAACCAGATCAATCTAGGATATCTGGACGAGTTGGACCAAAGGGTCTGTTTTCATGCTGTCTATCTCTATGACTCTATCAGTTCAAACCCTACCATTGTAACTGGTGGAATTTAAACTCAATTAATAAATGATCTGGAATTGAACACTAGCCTTAGTGATGGTAACCATGAATCTCATAAAGCATGGAAACAGACCTTTTGCTCCAACTTGTCCATGCTAAGTTTCCCAAATTAAACTACTTCCAACATCCCTTCATTTAGCCCATATCCCTCTAAATTTTTCCAATTCATGTATCTGTCCAAATGTCTTTTTAATGTTGTAACTATCCCTGCATCCACCACTTTCTCTGGCAGTTCATTCCAGAAAAGAACCACCCTCTTTGTATGAAAAGGTTGCCCCTCAGTTCGCCTTTAAATCTTTTTCCTCTCATCTTAAATATTGGCCCCCCTAATTTTAAACTCTCCCACTCTAGGGAAAAGACCTTTGCTATTCACCTTATCTGTGCCCCTGTATAAGGTCACTCCTCAATCTCCTGTGCTCCAGTAAAAAATGTCCCAGCTTCTCCAGCCTCTCCTTATAACTCAAACCCTCCAGTCCCAGCAACATCTTGATAAATCTTTCTGAACCCTCTCCAATTTAATAATATCCATCCTACAGCAGGGCATCCAGAACTATACAATACTCCAAAAGTGGCCTCACCAACATCCTGTACAACCACTAATTCCTAAACTCAGTGATCTGAGCAATGAAGGCAAGTGTGATAAATACCTTCTTAACCACCCTGTCTTCCTATGGTGCAGATCTCAAAGAACTATGTACCTGAACCTTAGGGTTTCTCTGTTACATACCCAGGGCCCTACCATTAACTGTATAAGTTGTGCCCTGGTTTGTTTTACCAAAATGCAATACCTCGCATTTATCCAAATTAAACTCTGCTACTCCTCAGCCCATTGGCCCAATTGATGAAAATCCCTTCATAATCTTAGATAGCTTTCTTCACTGTTGACTATACAATCAATTTTGCTGTCATCCTCAACTTACTCACTATGCCTCCTAAATTCTCATCCAAGTTGTTTGTACAAGTGACAAACAACAGCGGACTCAGCATCAATCTCTGCGGAACACCGCTGTCACAGGCCGTCAGTTCGAAAAGGAACCCTCCACCACCACCCTGTGTCTCCTACCATCAAGCCAATTTTGTATCCAGTTGGCATTGCCTTTAAAAGGCTAACTGGTTCACCAGTACTTGTTCAGGAATGTAATCTGCCATCCTTACCCAGACTGGTCTACATGTGACTCCAGATCCACAGCAATGTGGTTAACTCTTAACTTGCCCTCTAAAATGGCCCTACTCAGTTCAAGGGCAGTTATGAAGGGGCAACAAACATTGGCTGCCCACATCCCATGAAAAACATGAAGAAATAAATTGTGTCCTTTGTTTGACAGTATGTTAGTGTAGCACTTTCTCGGTACTGCCTGCTGTTACTTTGTGTGTAAAACTTCGGAGTGGGATTTGAACCCAGAGCCACAAGATTTAGAGGCGAGAGTGCCGCCACTGATGCGTGGCTGACAGAATTGTTCGGAAGGAGTAGTTTGGAATTTGAGGTATTAGTGATGCATTGTGGTCAGCTGGACAGGTTTGGTTTCAGTGAACTTACAAATCTTATCTCATGGCCAGAACTTTTTCCTTTCTCTATATTCAGTACAGATGTTTTCTTAAAGGGGAAATCTTTGATGTCTCATGCAGTTCATCTTGTTCTTTCAGGTCCCTGATGTTATCAGTAGTATTCGGCAAGTATCCAAGGCCACACTAAAGGAGGACACAAAATCCCGGCAGGTCAGTGAAGATGCTTTCTACAACTCACAGAAGTATGAGGTGCTGTACTGCGGTAAAGTGGTGGTGACACACAAGAAGGCTCCGTCCACCCTCATCGATGACTGCATCGAGAAGTTCGCCCAGCACCAACTGGAAAAGGAGAGGCTGCAGCTGCTCAACGAGAAGCCTCTGGCCGACGTCACCGTTGACCAGGAGGAAGATGATGCCAGCGGGGACATGGCACTTCCCCACGATGTGGCTGACGGGGCAACGGTCAGCACCAACCTGCCTTCAGCCGGCGGCAGTCAGAGCGACCTGCTGGGCTTGGGTTTGCGTTCGGTCCTGACCGAACCCAGCCTGGAGGATGCATCTCTGGAAGAGGAGCATGCCGAATTCCGGTCGCGGTGTTACAGTGTCGCCAGCATCCGGCTCAAGCGGGTGCCTGACCTGGGCACCAAATTGCCAACTCGAAGACGTCATGCCAGCGCTCCAAGTCACGTCCAACCCTCTGACACAGAGAAGAATAGGACCATGTTATTCCAGGTAGGCACGCTTGTTAACGTTTTTGTAATGAAATATGTACCATGGGAAAAAAGGGGTGCAATCATGAAAACCCATGAATAATATCTGTTCTGGTGCAGCCAGTAATCAGAAAACCTAAGAGAATGTTATGCTTATTGTGAGGGGAAATGAATGGAAGAGCACAGATTTAATATTTCAGTTATACAGGGCATTGGTGAGACTACATCTGGAGTGCTGCGTACAGTACTGGTCACTGCACTTACACAAAGATATTAAGCATTGGAAGCATTTCAGAGAAGGTTTGCCAGACTAATCCCTGGAATTAACACATTGACTTATGAGGAAAAGCTAGACACGCTAACTCTGTGTCCTCTGGAGTTTAGAAGAGTTGGAGGTGATTTATTTGAATCATACAAGATCCTGAGGGGAATTAATCAGATGAATGTTGAAAGGATGTTTCCTCTTATGGACAATCTAGAACTAGAGGTCATCGTTTAAAAATAAGGAATGCCTATTTAAAACAGAAATGAGGAAACATTTTTTTCTCTCTGAGGGTTGAGAGTCTTTGGAATTCCATTGTCAAAAGGCAGCAGATGCAGAATCTCTCTATTTTTAAGGCAGAGGTGGATAGGTTCTTGATTACCAAGGGGATGAAGGGTTATCAGAGGAATGTACACTTGAGATTAAAATCAGATCAGCCACAATTTTATTGTATGGTGGTGCAGGCTCAAAGGGCCAAGTGGCCTACTCTTGTTTCTTGTTCATATGCAGGATGGAGAGCTACTGAAATTTCTTCTAGTGTAAGGATTAGAGGCTCTGAGATTAATGCATGGCAGTAATGGTGATGGGGATCATTGTATATTGACATATTGACACATATCCCCATGTATAAATTGGGGAAGGGAAAAACGATAAATGATCATACAATTTTAAAACTGCTGTTTTTTTATTGAACTTCACAATAAATTTTATTGGATTCATTGCATGAGTCCAGCGTTATTGGACATGCTGGAGCTTAATGCTGTCTTAACGCTGATTCAACAATTTGCCTTTTGTGGTAATAAAGTGCTCTAAGCTCTGAGCATTACAAAAAAGTTAGTGTTCCAGTCTTGCTATTTTATGCATGAGCTGCGTATATTGGAGAGATGAGAAGGTTTTATTTTTGCATGGTGGGTTGTTGTGATCTGGAATACACTGCTTGAAAGCTTGGTGGAAGCAGATTCAAAAATGCCTTTCATAAGGGATTTGAATAAATGCTTGAAGGTGATTATGAATAAATATCAGGGGCAGAAAAGGGACTAATTGAATTGAACCTCCAAAGAGCCAGCACAAACATGACTGGCCAAATGGCCTTTTTCTATTCTGTTTGGTTTCATGATTTGACCAGGATGCTAACATTGCCCATCTGCATATTTCAGTCAGATGAATGAAGATATTAATAAGGCTGTCAACCAACTGCAATCTCCACTTGCTATGAAAGACTTTATTTTGAAAAAGAACTGGAACTTCTTAATTCTCATAAATCTGGTTGAAGGGATCTTATAATTGCATGTTTTAAAAACACTCATGTAAAATTGCTGTAACCAACATTCCTAGTGAAATAAAAACCAGTTCTGAGGAAGGGTCATTCGACCCGAAACGTTAACTCTGATTTCTGTCCACAGATGCTGCTGGATCTGCTGAGCTTTTACAGCAATTTTTGGTTTTATTTCTAGTGAAATTATTGATGCTTTTGCATCAATGTTTTATCTGGTTATGCTCCTTCGAAGCACTTTGAGATCATTCCTTAGGTAAAGGTGCTGTATAAGTGCATGATGTTGTTGTGTCAAGTTTTTCCTGCATCTATAGATGTTGGAGGCCTGGAAGGTTTGATTGGAAAAGCTAACTGCAGCCTGAACAGGACATATGAGAGTTACCTACATAAGTCTGTGCAATCGAGGTGTGGCGATGCTGTTAGACATGTCTGAATTACTGCTGATGGTATAACTGCTCCCTGAGCATCTAAAGAGGCACAAGTACTCATGGGGCTCTGCTATCATGGCTTCTCTCAACGCTGCTAATGCATGCCTGTCCACCTTCCACATGCAAGTGGGGATGGAATTAAGAGAGTCATGAGACCAGCAGTTAACATTGTTGACATCCAAGTCAGATGTATCAGGGTTATTGTCTTCCAGTAAACTGGGGCAGGGCTGGAGAAGGGACCCATGACAGGAAGATCCCACCTCCACCCCATCCAGGTCCCCTGTGTCAGTGGGGGTAGGTTTTCCAGATAGTGAGCAGGATCAGCCAGTCACAGGATGGGGAAGCAGAAGCATCATTGGTGGCCCAGTGGAATCTGACTTTCTGAAGAAGCTTTTGCATGTTTGAACAACCAGCATGATGCAGGTGATAACGTACTCATATAGGTCCTTCACAGCAGTATCAGTATACAAAATCCCAAATCATAATTAGCTGTCACACTCAGGAAGAATTGACAACCTAAAACAATAGCTCCATCCTTTTGGGCTGTCCACAGAATGATTACGGCAGCACACTGTTTGAAGGAGTATCTTTACATTAATGTTCATTCAGTATATTCTTGAGTTGTCCTGTATCCCCTGATATGCATCATTTTCCTGGCTTCAGAATAGAGCACTGAAAGCTTCTCTCAGGTATGTGCAAATCAGCCTTCAGGTCTCATAGTTTCAAACAGCACAGAAGAAGGCCAGTCAGCTTCATTGCATTCATGTCAATTCTTGAAAGGCCCAGTCCATTTATTCCCACTGAACCTGCTCTTACCTTATAGACCTGCAAATTTCTCCCTTTGACCCTTTTTAAAATTCCTTTTAGAAAGATACAATTGAATCTGCTTCCACTACTCTTTCAGACATTAACTTACTGTGTGGAGCAAGTCCTCCTTATTTTACCCCTGGATTTTCTGCCTGTTTTCTGAAATCTGTTTTCTCCATTATTGACTCTCCAGCAGCAACAGATCCTCCTCGTTTTTAGGAAAATGCCTGAAAGTCAGTTGTGGTTCAATTGGTAGCACTTTTGTCTCTGAATCAGAAGGCTTTGCATTCAAGTTTCATTGCAGGACTTGTAAACGAAAATTGTATATACCATACCACAAATGAAATGTGCCACAAAGGGAAAATAAAGACACAGAAGAGCGAAACAAAAGCCAATCACAATTCAGCAATAATTATATGTTCTGTTGCTGACTTTTTAAATGAAAGAGGACCAAAAGTTGGCTACAGTTGTCTCTCAGTATGTTTGTCACAAAGTCTTCATTCATCAAGCACGTGGTGGTCATGGAGCAGAGCTGTAAGTGTAAATATCTCAAGGCAATGTCATAAGCTCACAACACAGTGTGGGTTCTGTGGGTTTACTGAATGAAACTCAGGCTATTTGATTTATTCTTAAGGGAATCATTTCTGTGTTTTCTTTCCTTTGTAGGTCGGTCGGTTTGAAATTAACCTCATCAGTCCCGACACCAAAACAGTTGTACTTGAAAAGAATTTCAAAAATGTTTCCTCATGTTCTCAGGTTTGTGTTTATCTGGCTTTTCTCGTCACTTTCTATTTTGTTCGTGTAATTGATAGAATTACTGCCCCGCTGTAGGAAGGATGTTGTTAAACTTGAGAGAGTGCCAAAAAGATTTATAAGGATGTTGCTGGGACAGAAGGGTTTGCGTTACAGGGAGGTGCTTGATAGGCTGGGTTTTTTTTCCCTGGATCTTCAGAGACTGATTGGTGACCTTACAGAGGTTTATAAAATCATGAGGGGCATGAATAGGGTGAATAGCCAAAGGCAGTGCTGCCTCACAGCGCAGGGACCTGAGTTCGATTCCAGCCTCGGGTGACTGTCTTTGTTGAGTTTGCACGTTTTCCTTGTCTCTGCGTGGGTTTCTGCCGGGTGCTCTGGTTTCCTCCCACAGTCCAAAGATGTGCAGGTTTAGGTGGATTGGCCATGCTAAATTGCCCATGGTGTCCAGGGATGTGCAGGCTGGGTGGATTAGCCATGGGAAATGTGGGTTGCTGAGATACAGTAGGGGAATGGGTTGGTGGGATGCTCTTTGGAGAGTCAGTGCGGACTTGTTGGGCCTAGCAGCCTGGTTCCACACCGTGGGCCTTCTGTAGGGTGGGGGAGTCCAAAATAAATGGGCATAGGTTTAAGATTAGAGGGAAAGGATTTAAAAAGCATCTACGGCGCAACTTTTTCACAAGAGGGTGGTACGTGTATGGAACAAGCTGCCAGAGGAAGTGGTGGAGGCTGGTACAAATGCAACATTTAAAAGGCACCTGGATGGGTATGTGAATCAGAAGGGTTTAGAGTGATATGGGCCAAATGCTGGCAAATAGAAATAGATTAATTTAGGATATCTGGTCAGCATGGACAAATTGGATCAAAGTGTCTTTTTCTGGGTTGTATGACTCTATGATTCAATGACTCTAATTGGACATTTTCTGCAATTGCCATAATGTTAGAATTAGAATGGGTTACATTAGCACTCGTCTTCTGTTCCATATTGGTCTTGTGACTTTCAATTCAGCTTCATTCAGTCATGAGTTATTTTAGATTTTATTTAAAGGGTTTTATAAAATAAAAGCACCTCTGCATTCCTGATCTCATTGGCAAAGCTGTAATCTTGATTGCTGCATGGGTACAGATACACAGTGGCCTGTTGCTCAGTCCTTCTTCCCAGTTTTGCCTCTGAAATATTGTTAATCTTATATTCCAGAAACCTGTTTGGTGCCAGATAGAACTGAAGTTAACTTTTACACATTTATAAGGATTTATTTACACAACCACAGATTGGAAACAAGCACCCCTGAATCCAGCAGCCGCACTTTCTGTCTGTGCTAATCTACAAGGGCATTAGTATCTCCAAAGTTAATGTCCCAACCACCTGCCAGAACATAAATACCATTGACATTCCTAGATCAGTAAGTTGGTACAGCAAACTGAAGAGCCTCCTTTTTCCAGGAAAGATAATTTGACAAATCTCATACCCTCTTAGGGTCACTGTCTAGAAAGGTCCTGAAACTTCCATTGTTGTCAGCAATCCAAATAAAAAAAATTCCAAAAGAGAATTAAAAATGTTGTTGTTTTTGGAACACTTTTTGTTGTTTAGCTATAGAAATAGTGGCAATGGGAATAGTGGCAGTCAAGTATCATAAGAGTCTCTTGCATTGGCCTGGGTAGGTGTAGGAAGAGTTTCTTATTTGTTCATGGAATGTTGAATCGCCTCACTGGCAGGGTGATCATTGCTCATCACTTATTGACCTTAAGAAGGTGGTGGTGAGATGCCTTTTTAACTCTTGGAGTTTTTGGAGGCCAGATACATGCACAGAACTGTCAGGAAAGGAATTCCACAATTTTGACCTTGCAACATTTAAGGAATGGCAGTATAGTTCCAAGTCGGGATGGTGTGTGGTTTGGAGGGGAACTTGCAGGTGGTGGTGTCCCATGCATCTGCTCCTTTTGTTTTTCCCTCCAGATGATAGAGGTCACACGTTTGCTAGGTACTGTCAGAGATGCCTTCATAAACTGACGCAACAAAACTGGTGAACGGCTACATCCCATCACCAAGTTTGTCAGGTGATTTTGTCAACATGCCAATGATGTGTTCCAATTGGAAGTGTTAGTCTTAATGATGCAATGATATCAATTGAATCCTCTCAATCCAGTTTGTGCAAACTTGCTTGGACCAGATGTAAATTCTGTGTAAAAACTATTCGTAACTCTAGCTTGTCTCATTCAGTTTGATATGGGCCTTCCCCATGAGAACAATCAAAATAATAAATTCCTCTGCAAAGGCAAATAGAAACCTTGACCATTGGAAACCTTATAAACAGTTTATGGACAAATTTTATGTTTATGACTGTGCAGCATGAATCTGGTCAACCATGTAGTGTTGTTTTGTAAATATTTCACAAATATTGAATTATTTATGACTGGTTTTGTTTGAAGCAGTCATTAAGATGAGAGTTGCACTTTTGGGAGGGATCAGGGTTAATTTATTTTGTCGAAATCCAGCATTAATAACAAGAACAGAGAGTGCTAGAAACACTCACTAGGCCAGGCAGCGTCTGTGGAGAGAGAAACAGAGTTAATATTTGGAAAAAATGACATTTCATTAGAATTGGAAAAGGCTTTAATCAAATACAGAGGTCGTGAGGCTAGGGGAATGAAACAGGAGATCTGTGATTAGGTGGTTTACCATTTACACCCCCTCTAGACTCATCTTTTCTTTCTTTACTTATCACCAACTTCTTTACCTTTGCACGGTCGCCCCTTATGTCTCTACTCATTTAAAACCTAATGTATGTCTCAATTTTTCGAGTCATGGTGAAAGGGTATCAATCTGAAACCTTAGCTATGTTATTCTGGATAGAATGGTTAGGTGCATGTTTCTGATGGCATAGACCCGATGGGCTGAAGGGCATTTTTCAGTTCTTTAGATCTCTAAGTCTCTGTGTGACTCTCTCCACAGCTGCTGGCTGTGCTGCTGAGGTATTTCCAGTATTTTCTGTCTCTATTTCAGTTTTCCAGAATCTAAACAAGTTTGCTTTTGCAAAATGAATCAGGTAGGCCGCCAAGCAATGGTTAGCACTGCTGTCTCACAGCACCGGGGACCTGGGTTCAATTCCATGCTCGGGCATCCCCGTGTCTGCGTTGGTTTCCTTCGGGTGTTCCAGTTTCCTCCCACAGTCCAAAGCTGTGCAATTGGCCATGCTAAATTGCCCTGTAGAGCCCAGGGATATATAGGTTAGGTATGTTAGCCATGGGAAGTTATGGGTAGGAGGATGAATCTGGGTGGGATGCTTCTTGGAGGGTTGGTGTGGACTTGTTGGGCTGAATGGCCTGTAGAGATTCTACTCTGTGAGAAGGTTGGCAGTGTATAAGTGATGCCAGTCAAACTATTAGTTGACCTAATGATAGGGCTTTCCTCAAGAGACTGTTAAGAAAATCTTCTCGCTGATTCCCTTGTAGCTAATCGACATCTTTTTACCTGTATCATTCCAGGGTATTAAACACGTGGACCATTTTGGGTTCATTTGTCGAGAGAGTGCTGAACAGGGTCTAAATCAATATGTGTGCTACGTGTTTCAGTGTGCGAATGAATCACTGGTAAGTCCTTTCCTATAATGTGGCAATTGCCTATCTAATCTGACGTTGCAGACGTTTCGTCACCCTGCCAGGTAACATCATCAGTGTGCCTCCGGTGAAGCGTTGGTGTTCTGTCCCACTTGTTATTTATATGCCTCAGTTTGTTGGGGTGTTTGGTACCACTTCTGGTTCTGTTTCTCACTGGTTTGTACACAGGGTATAATTCAATGTGTTTGTTGATGGAGTTCTGGTTAGAACACCAGGCCTCCAGGATGCCCAGCATGTCTCTATTGTACTAGCCACCCCAGCAAACTGAGGCATATAAATAACAAGCGGGACAGAACACCAACGCTTCACTGGAGGCGCACTGACGATGTTACCTAGCAGGGTGATGAAACGTTTGCAACCAAACCCACCGGCTCAGCGAGCAAATCTACAACCTCCTCCACATCCCGAACTATAAATCTTCTCGAAATGCCTATCTAATCCTCCATAGTGAAGTTTTATCAGAAAGTGGAACATAATTTGCACATAGAATATTGTTGAGCATTAAAGTTGTAGTTGTCAAAAGCCATTTTCGACACTCCTGTCGCTGTTTAAGTGACCTATTTAGGCTTTGCGAAAGCAGCTGCTGATTAAAGAGTGTAACGTGAAATAATTCACAGAGGCTGGTATCCCATCACCAATCCACCCTTTATTTACACATGCATAGTCCTTGGCACTGGTCCAACTTCCTTGGAGCCAGCTCTCTGAATGAGCAGAACCCCTGACACTTCTGTTTATATCTGTCAGTCAGGACTCCCTGATTGGACCACATTAACCGCCCCAGTTGAGCAACTCATATTCTGTGAGGTCCACCTGCTGACCTCATTACAACATGTAAGCTCAGGACAGGGTTTCCCAGACTGTGGGTTGTGACCCCAGTGGGGACAAGGGACATCAATGGCAGCTGTGGACTGAAGATTAAGATTCAACAGTCCTAGCTATGAGGCCCTTTTCATTGTGCATGACTGGTTGGTTTTGCCGGTAGTCACAGCCTAATGAAGTGAGCTCTGAGGATGGATATCTGTCGTTATTAAGGTCTTCAAAATGCTGGATGTTTGCTTTTTTAGTGCCAGTATACTCTGGCAGGTTGAACTCTACCTACATGTACTAACACAACTCTGCACTCCCACCACCCCACAACTTTCCTCCCCCGTGATTACATAACTTGCCCACACACCTCCACCACCACAACTCCTGTATCTCCCCCCCACCGACCTTCCTGCCGCCAGTACAACTCTCCCCCACCAGCGCCTAACACAATGAGCACTTTGGGTCAAAACAAGTGAAAAGGATTATGATGGGTCACAGTGACAATATGTTTGGGAAGCATTGGCATAAAGCACCTACAAGCAAGTGCGATCTGTTCTCCGTTTATCTTGGAGAAGGATGTTGCAAGTGGTGTGCCTACTTCCAGTCACAAAGAAGCTGTGTCATTCTGCGTGATTACCAGGAAGTGAGAAAGAGGGGCGAGATTCATGTGACCTTTACCATTTGGGAAGATGTCCTTAGTGTATTGTCGGTCTATCAAGTAATCAAAGTGGAGGTTTATACCAAGCACACAAAAAAGATTGCTCCTTGCAGAGGTAGATAGCAATCAAAGCAGAAATACACAAACTTGTAAAATATTAACAAAATCCTTCCTCCCACCCCATCCAAGTCTCTGGCATCAAGGGAGTCACAGTCAATACTGGGCAAGTTAAAAATATCACTATTACAACCCTGTTGTTCCTGCACTTATCCACAATCTGTCCACATATCTGTTCCTCTATCTCCCACTGTTTGATAGGAGGCCCCACCGAAGTGACTACACCCTTTCTATTTCTGAGCTCTACCCTTATGGCCTCACTGGACAAGTCCTCCAAGCTGACCTCCCTCAGTACAGCTGTGATATTCACCCAAATCAGTAATGCAACTCCTCCACTTGTTTTATATCATTCTCTATCTCACCTGACACATCTAAATCCTGGAACGTTAAGCTGCCAGTCTTGTCCTTTTCTCAGTCAAGTCTCTGTAATAGCTGCAACATCATAGTTTATATGTGTTAATCCAAGTTCTAAGTTCATCCTCTATCGTGCTTAAGTAAACAGGCCCTTAGACACAATGTAGGATAGAAAAGCAAAGGGAAGGGCTCTTGTGATACAGTGATAGTGTCCCTACCTATGAGCCAGAGAGCCTGCATTCAAGTCTGACCTGCTACAGGGGTGTGTAATAACGTCCCTGAACAGATTGATTAGAAAGTATCTAAAAAGGTACAGAGTGCTATTGTGGTACAGTGGTAGTGTCCCTACCTCTGGATCAGGAGACCTGGGTTCAAGTCACACACTGCTCCAGAGGTGTTTCATAACATCTCTGAAGACAGTGTTTAGAAAACATCTGAACAGTTATGGGCTCTCGTGGTAGACTGGCTGTATGTCTGCCTTTGGACCAGAAGACCTACGTTCAAGGTGGTATGTAATAATATCCCTGAACAGGTTGATTAGGAAAATATCTGGAAAAGAAAAGTAGCAGCACTAACCTAACTGGTAGCTAGTAGTGTTTAGTTCAATGACACATACAACAATGATTATCACAACACCATCTCCCTATCAAACCTTACTTTGGTGTGTTCTGGAGGCTGGTTCCAGTTGTACCACTAGCTTAAAGCAGCTACTAAGTGAGTAACCACCTGTCTGTAGTGAGGTTTAGCAGTTTCCTCCTAGACAATTAACCAATTGGCTTGAAGCATAAATAAGATAGTGTCTTTCGACTTGCCTGAAAAATATTCACTCCATCCATCCCACTCAGAATTCTTCCCCTAGCAACAGTGAGTAGAGAAAATCAAAAGGGTAACCATGACGTGATGGCCAAACTGCAGGAAGATTTCTGGAGCTGATTTAATGCAAAATGTTTGTAGTGGTTAGCACTGCTGCCTCACAGTGCCAGTGACCCAGGTTCAATTCCAGTTCAGGTGACTGTCTGTGTAGAGTTTGCACATTCTCCCTGTGTCTGCGTGGGTTTCCTCCGGGTGCTCTGGTTTCCTCCCACAGTCCAAAGATGTGCAGGGTAGGTGGATTGGCCATGCTAAATTACCCATAGTGCCCAGAGATGTTTAGATTAGGTGAATTAGACATGGAAATCAGGGGTAGGGGAATGAGTCTGGGTGGGATGCTCTTCAGAGGGGCGGTGTGGACTTGTTGGGCCGAATGGCCTGTTTCCACACTGTAGGGATTCTGTGGATTCTAAGACAGGTTGACTGCATTTTTCAAATATCGAATTAAGCCCTCAGAATGCTAGAAACTGCACAAGACAATGAAATTGCAGTGCTTCAGCTACTGCGATCCAGGCACTCATGTGAAATTTAATCTTCAAAACTGTGGTTGAAATTTCCATGCAATAAAAACAAAATTTAACTTTGACTAGAGATTTAGCCAGTAATCTTCAGTTTAAGAGCCAAGAATCCAGTGATGTTAGCTAATGGGCCAGTCTGTGAGATGCATTAGCTTGGTTTGATGAAAGATTTATTTACTTTTGGACGTAAGACCAGAAAGACTATGCAATTGCTTTAGATAAGACACAGGCAGCTTCTCAGTGACAAAATAGGGTATCTTATTAGTTATTTTATTTACCATCGATCCTAGTGTATAAATTGACCTTTGGAACTTTGAAAAATCCCTCTAAAAATCAGGGTTGACTTAAGTGCTGAGGGTAAAAGTGAACTGTGGATGTCGATGTTTGTGTGGGTGGCTGCAATTTTGAAATGTCATCAGCATCCAACACAAAGAGTGGATGTATCTTAATCTCCTGCACAACTTTGTAACACAGTGCACATCACCTGCTTGATGCCTGAGACCCAGTTGTAAGGTGCTGCTAAGTAAAATATGCATTTCTGGGTTTCAAAATGGTGGCTGATTACCAATGCAAATAATAACATGTTGTGACTGGGTTGGAGGGTCAATATGCTCAGTCCAATGATGGATTCTTTATAGGAATGATTAAAGATCTTTTCTAATGTGTGAGATTCTGTAGGAAAGTAAATGCTGGAAAACCTTGTGCACCCAAAACATACTCAAAATGCAAGTCAGTTTCAGCATTGTGCATCCCACCGTGAAGGGGAACTGCATGTTGCAGTGTTTTAGAAATTGATACCCTATATATTCCTCTTCATTAATAAATTGCATTCAAGTATTTCTGACATTTGCAGAGGAATTGCAATGTGAGAGATTGGAAAGTCTCAAACTAGTTACCAGGCAGCAGGAAATATTGCAAGGGACAGACACTCTTGAATTTAATTCTTATTACCGAGGTTAAGCAGCATCATTGTGAGAAACAAAAGAGCAGTGATGAAAGAAATACTATACTCGGGGGATGAGGGAACATTGTCATACGACATGTTGTTGAGCTCCTTCATTTAATATGACCACCATGCTTGTTAGATAGATAGACAAACAGATAGATAAGTAGAGAGACAGAATGATTGAGAAATAGGTAGACGGACAGATAGATAGGTGGACAATTGATTTATTAAAAAATCATGTCAGCAGGTGCGGATAACAATGCAAATAAAACAAGTAATCTTTATTTTAAAGATTACTTACAACTATGTTGCAAATTAACTACAGAATTGCAAAGCCTTGTGCAGTTATGAACAATTCAATATACAAATAATTAAAATACACTTCAAAATCCAGTTCTCCTTCCTTCATCAGAATAAAAATGAAATATATGCTGTACACTGCAATTTGCATTACAGTCAAAACAACAGAAGCAGTGCACACACACTTCCAGTCAACCTTTTTGGGAATTGAGGAGGCTGAAAAGTAGGTTCTACAAGGTCCAATATCTTCATCCAATGTTATATCACATCTCCAGTTTCAGTACATCCAAAATATCACATTGCTAGAGGGCCCCAAAAGATAATGATTGTTTCAAATGGTTTATTCAAATAGAAAATCAAGTTAGACTTTAAAAAATGGCTTCAAAATCTCAACAGAGCTACA